GGGGGGGGGGGGGCTACAGAAAACGAGTACAGCTCGGCTGATGATCTTCTTTCTAAATCATCAAGCAAAGATTAAATAAAAGTAATTCCAAGACCCCAAAAGATATGCACCAGTAAAAAAGGAAACTTAGATGAGGCAAAAGGAAAAGGTATTCACATCACATTTCAACTGGGAAGCAAACCTAGTGAAACAATGCAATTACTTACAGCAAATCTAAGAAGGAGACATGATTTGCCAACACCAGAGTCTCCAATAAGCAAAAGCTTGAAAAGATAATCGCTGCATGGAAGATTACAACATCAGATAAGCTATATAAGTTCAAACAATATCCAGATAAATAAATCATAAGATAAATATAATATAGCACAGTGCAAGTATCATCGACATCCATAATTAAAATGCCCATAAAGCACAAATCAAACATCACTATTTCCATATAAAGAACCCTCTTCTACTACCACCAAGGCTTATAATCTAATGGTACCGGTGGGAGCACTAGGTGTGGATTGAATTCTCACTATCCCCTTCCCCTTCCCCTTCCCCTTCCCCTTCCCCAATGTAAGGGAACTAATTTTAGAAAACCCGCTCCTACTACGATCCTCAGAGTATAATGGGAGGAAATTGAAAAGGAAAAGAAGTATGAATGTAGCTAACAATTTCATTATAGAGATAGGTCAGATACTTGGCTGATGAAGAATTCTTCTTTTACTTGAACTTCTAGTCCTTTCCCTCTCTTCTTTTTATAATATCCATCGTTTTCTTTGGCTTCATTCTTTTTCAAAGTGCCGTTTTGTAGCTATGCAGATTTCCTTAGTTTTCAAGAAGGTTTGGTATTATCTTCAACCTTTTTCTAAACTTATGATTATGTTAACACCGCTAACTTCAGTGCAAGGATTTAAACTGCACGTTTGGTAAAATTGAAAGCCGAATATGTTCAGTGGAATAACTCAGGGACCAAAACCAAAACAAAACAATAACTCAACTGCCAAAAGCTATTTTTCCGATCCGTAACCATGATTCACCGATCTAGAATATCCGCTCAACCGACAAGAAAAATTAACAGTAGAAAAACAAAAATCTCAACAAAGCAGAAAACAGATCCAAAAGAAATTAAGCACAACAACTGAAATCGTCACGAATTTAAAAAAAACAAACAGCAGATGCTACTTGAAATAAAAAAGCAAAAAAAGAAAAAGAAAAAGAAAAGAAACTTACTATTCTGGATTCATGACTGCTAAAACGTATGAGATCGGTCAAACTATGGCAGCGGTGAATTCAACAAATATTTGGGATTTTTCCGGCAGGAAAGAGGAGATGAAAATAGAACGGCGAAAGGTTGGACTTCTTAAAGAGGGCTAAACTGTTGGAAGTTGAGTTGGATTTGTAAAGGTGGGTGGGTTTCGTGACATGGCAATTAAAACGAATGCATTCCACGTTAGATTTAAAAATTGAGAATATATTAAAGGCTAATAAAATGTTAAATAGATTGTCCGTTTGATGTGACACCGAGTGCAAATGAATTTTTCGTGTGACCACTATTGTTATCTTTTTTTTTCTTTTCTTGTTAGATATAAAAAGATGAAAATAAAAACTTATACGTAAATATTGTAGTATTAGAGAGAATATTTTGATATATTTTCATATTTTATTTTGAGGATCATTCGAAAACCGTCTCTTTACTCCTCGTGGTAGGGTAAGGTCTGTGCACACACTATTCTTCCCGGACCCCACTAGTATAATTTTACTGAATTGTTATTGTTGTTTCATATTTTACTTGCAAATGCACATATGCTTAGAGGGTCAATATGAGATGGTTGTTAGGATACATTTTAATATAAAACTAGCCCCATAATCAATTGTATTTTTATTATTAATAGAAGATAAGAGTTTTCTTTTCGTTACACCATCTATAATTCATGATCGAAATTGCGGTTGCAATTTTTTAAAGTATATAGTCAAATGAAAAAAATTCCTAACTTGTACTCAATGCATGTCTTTAACCAATAATACTATATGCATTTTTCATCACCTCGCCATGGATAATTAACTTATTTTTTTTATCTTAACATTTAAACATAATAAATTAATATAATTTAATGCGAATAAATTGTTTTCCTCAGTAGTTGCGTGAAGTCGCGTGATACCAATTCCTACAAAGTTCAAACAAGGTGGCTATTATTATGATTTTAGAAGTTACCTGTACGGCTGGCATAAGTGGAGCAAACGCATCCTGTTAAATTCAAGCAAGACTAGGATATGACCTCGGTATTGTCACCCTACAATAGATGTATTTTTATCTTGTCTAGTAGACAAAAATTATTTATCACACGGGATATTTACTTTAAATCATATGAATTTCTTATAGTTAAGTAATTGAATAATGTGAGTATATATATTAATTAATTGTAATTACGTGTTAGAAAATTTATGTCCAAACACATGTGGATGTTTTTGTGGAATAAATTTTTATGGACATACAATAGAACTTACCCTTCTCTCATTAAGGAATATTCAACTCTTTCTGCCTATAGACAATATTCTCTTAATTCAAGGATCTGAGCAAGAAAAAGAATACAATAATTCAGTAGAATCTCACTAGTGGGGTGTGGGGAAGGTAGAGTGTATGTAGACCTTACCCCTACCCCGGAGGGGTAGAGAGACTATTTACGGGAGAACCTCGGCTCAAAAAAAAAAAAGAGACAATAAATCCGTAACAAAAGCAAGAAAAAGAATGCGCCTTACTAAACAAGAAAGAGCTCTGCTTCTTTGTTCGCTAGTCTTTTGCACCTTTTGTTTAAGTTCAGACAACTTTGCTAATTATGTGAAAAAAATTAACTAAATTAGCTATGAGAAAACATTAATTCAGGAATATGAGTGTGGCTATAACCAGGGGAAAGTTCATTATGATAAGATGTTCTTGACATTGCAAGTGTAAGAGGAATTCCTCTATTAGCATGTACAATAACAAACAATATCTGTACTTCTGATGTACACCTCAACTTAAGTGTTATGTACACAAGCAAGCCATTGGCCAATTCCATATGGATTTCTTATAGAGGCTCAAATTCAAAATTTGTATGCTCCAGAATTGGACCAAGTCTAACCAGCTTAGGTACAATGATATTATCCCTAAGGGAACAAATCACTGGATTATCCCACTGCAATAGTGCACCCACAAGATATGCACGTAGCGTTAATGGAAATATACGAGCCATCTTTCAGTTTCATATGCTTTGAGTGCATCTTCGACAGAAATACGTTTATACTTGATTGCTTCTGTAAGTTTTTTGGTCAAAACTATTGAATCTTCGAGTGCACAACAACCACCTTGACCAAGGTTTGGTGTCATTGGGTGCCATGCATCACCAACCAGCACTATACTTCCAGTAGAGGCTGGTGGGCTTATTGAGGGCCAAAGCCATCTATCTACTAGGCTACTTCTTATGATTGTGTTATCTGGTGTAAGTTTAATGAGGTTTATTAGGTCTGTTGGCCAATTTCTAACGAGTTGTTCAGCCTGCTGTCTCAAGATGGATGGATCTGTTACCTTTGGACCTGTCAACAGATGTTCAAAACATTTAGAATGATGCAAATAATGTAGTAGAAAAAGATAGTTTTTTTCACTGATGTATTTCGACCCTTTTAGAGGGCAGCATTATTAGTCCAACTACAGAAAGTCGCATAGAATTTTTCAGCTCATGAGAGAGTATCTAATCAAAGTGGATATATACTACGATTTCTACTTTAAAACTGGTGCCACATGGGAACCATTTACCGTCAAATAACATGCCCACATGAAAAAAAACAGACACTGGAAAGAGTATTATGCGCACATGGGCGTTCATTCTCGTCTCTAATTTTCTAGGCGTACTGATATATAAAGTTCTTATATTTAAATTAGAGGGCTACACACTTGAAAACCCACTTTCTATTAGGCGTATAGAGACAAAACAAGAATGTTATATCCTACGGAGTTGCTTTTTGATTAAGTGGTTGGAATTAATGCATTGTTGTGTTTGTCATGAATGCCTAAGAGAGAAATGTACCAGAAAGCTGTTATGAAACACAAACCTGGTGACGAGCTATTGTAGCAGATAAACCAATAGACCTTGGTTTCAGAGACAGGAACATATCCAGCGCGCACTCCTCTTCCATAGATGTAGTTTACTTTTGGTTCAAATGGTTGTCCTTGAGGGAAATATGCTAGGCCTCGAAATGCACAATGTCCTACATAGTTAGGCTCTGGAAATCCCATCCACTTGGCCACTGGCGACCGAACCCCATCACAAGCGATTAATATCTGCAAGGAGTTGAAGTTCAAGAAGCAGGGGGAAGCTTGAGAAATAAGTCCACTGGATAATTTTTGAATAAATCAAATAGCTAAAAAATGAGAATAAACAAAATGTCGAATAAGAAATTAGATTAAGCAATAAGGACTTCATGGTTTTCGTTGTTAAAGTTGAATTAAAAGAACAATGTATTGGCAATACTTATACTACTAACCATCCTCGGTCAAATGAAGAACAAGCACCACACACCCAGCAAATAGGCAATCCAACTACCTTGGCAGATATGCGAATTCCATCTTCAAGTTCCAGCATTGTTTCACCATTTTCACTTCTTTCAATGTTTGCCAGCTTTGAGGAAAAAGAGATAGCATCTGGTGGCAGCTTACTGGCAAGTGTTTCCAGTAGGACTCTCCTCTCCACAGCTCGGACTTCTTGACTACATTGCCATTGGATCAATAGAGAAAAGGATCAGAATTTGGTGATAAATAACCATTAACCAAAACAATCAGAGAGACAATTACCTTTCATCCTCATCTTTGAATCTGAAGGAGCGCAACTCTCTTCCATCTTCTGATTTTACCACCATCCTGCAAATTCCCAGGTACCATAAGTGAGTGATTTTTACATACCAGAATCTAGGAGAAGCATTTCAGCATGATTTCAGATCAACAATTATAGTCTAATGTTGACATTTGAACCGTCAGTTACTAGATAGATACTCATGGAAAGCATAAAACAAGAGAAGCATCTTCAGCTTTATTTGAGTATCACAATCGAACCTCAAGAAGCACATTAAAGAATGAAGATAGAGAAGAAAACAATGAAGTTCTTCTATATAGGACACTAAAAGACCTCTCAATAATAAAGCATTCTAAAAGCATCACCTACCTCGCTGCACATTAAACAAGTTTTTCAGAAATAGGTGAAGCATAGCTTCAACAAGTAGAAGCTTATTGGCTAGCTTCAAAGAAAGAAGTTAGTCCGTTAAACTCATTGATTGTACTTCACTTTTCTTATGATGAAAACTAGAGGATGCGTAGGCAGTGAAGCAGCAAGCGAGCTGCAAGTACCTACTCCTATCACAATGAAAGGCATCATAGGAAATTGAGGTGTTGGGAATTACTAACAGAAAACCAAAATTTCCTTTGTTTTGCACTGTTGAGCTTATATGCCGGTTTATATTTGTTTTGGTTTATGAAAGAAATCTTGGCTAGTTTCTGTTTAAATATGCATTATTATCTGATATGTCACCCTAGAATGACTATTGCCCTTCACTAACCTGCGCTGCTGTTATCTGCAAATTCTAAAGAGTACTCATTAATCAGCTTGCGAGTTCATTCTAGTTGTATAAACTTGAGACAAGAAGATCTCTGCTACTGTAGGATGCCAAAGCCAGGAACATTGTCATATACTAAACCAATTAACAAACCAGGGTAATAAATACATATTAGTCCCCTAATGCTCTCTTTTCTACTTTTTTTTTTTATTTAAAAAAATTGCTATTGGCTGTTTTCTAAGACCATAGGAACAGCCAGAAGCTATATACTTGAGCAAAATGAATGAGCAAAGAGTACAAGTGAAACAACATACCCTTGAATTTCAAGAAACTGAGTCCTGAGATCATTGCCAACTCCAATAGCATCCAGTGCCTTCCATCCATTTTTAAAAAGTGTTAGTGACGTTCCTCCAGTTCTCAGCGACTCAGCCTGCTCAAGCACCAATGTTCTAATACCCAGCCTAAATAGCAAGCAATCACAATCATCAAATTTATTCCCAAATTCGAAAATAGAGAGTACCCTTACAAGTGTTTTACTAGCACTTAAATATGTCCAAACAGAACTATCCAAATAAAACAAAATGGAGATAGAAAATTCATATAGTCGACCTCAACTAGTTTGTAACTAAGACTTATTGACTGATTGATTATATGTCCAAATGGAGCAAAATGGATATAGAAAACCTCAACTAGTTTGTCACTAAAAGATTGATTTATTGACTGATTAATCGTAAGCCCCAGCTCCCCATCGTTGCGAGGCTGGCTTCGCATGCCACCCCAGCCCTCCTTCACAACTGCGACTAAATCCATCGCAAATGCGGTCACGCAAATGTAAACTGGTGCTT